ATTCTGCCCAGAGCAGGCTGTCCTTAAAACTAAGTGACAAAGCAAAACAGAGACCAGTGAGAAAGGCCACCAAGACACCTATGACTACTCTGAAGGAGTTACAAGCATCATCAACTGAGATGAGAGCGACTGTGCATACAACAGCAGGGTACTGTATACACAGTTGAAACCAGAAGTTTACATAATCTGTATATACTATGGCCATCATACTGCTCAGGAAGGAGACAGGTTCTGTGTCCCAGAGGTGAACTGTTTTGGTGCGAAATGTGCATATCAACCCCAGAACAAAAGCTAAAGACCTTGTGAAGATGCTGCTGAAGCTGGTAAGAGAGTGTCATTATCCACAGTGAAACCAGTTAAAAGCAACATAAAAAAAGCCAGATTACAGTTTGTAAATGCACGCAGAGACAAAGATATTAATTTCTGAATACATGTCCTGTGGTCTGATGAAACTAAAACTGAACTGTTTGGTCATAATAACCATTGCTGCATTTAGATGAATAAGGGGGAAGCTTGCAAGCCTGAGAACACCATCCCAACTGTGAAGTACGGGGGTGGCAGCATCATGTTGTGGGGGTGTTTTGCTGCAGGAGGGACTGGTGCACTTCCCAAATTAATGGCATCATGAGGAAAAAAGATTATGTAGAAATATTGAAGCAACATCTCAAGACATCAACCAGGAAGTTAAAGCTTGGACACATGGGTCTTCCAAATGAACAATGACCACATCACCAGATTAATTACAAAGAGGCTTCAGGACAACAAAGTCAATGTTTTGGGGCGGCCATGACAAAGCCCTGATCTCAATCCTGTAGAAAATGTGTCTGCAGAGCTTAAAAGGCGTGTGGAGCAAGGCAGCCAACAAACCTGACTCAGTTCCACCAGTTCTGTCAGGAGGAATGGGTCAGAATTCATCAAACTATTGTGAGAAGCTTGTGGAAGGAAACCTAAAACATTTGACCATACAGTCATACAGTTTAAAGGCGAGGCTACCAAATACTAAGGAAATGTAAACTTCTGACTGAAGAAAGTAATAAAAACTTCTCTAAAAAAAAAAAATCCTTCTCTCATTATTCTGGCATTTAGCAAATAGAAATAATTTTGGTAATCCTAACTGACCTAAAACAGGAAAAGTTTAGTCACATTTAATGTCACACAGTGAAAAAAAAGCTTTTGTGTCTTTTTATACAGTGTATGTAAACGTCTGGTTTCAACTGTTTCTCATAACTTAAACACACAAGTTCTTGCACAGAATTGTTGTTCCTGCAGCTTGTGTTTGTAAGGTTTTTCCTTGGAACCTTATCTAGCATTTTAGAATCAATTATCCCATTTTAGATTCCCCCGTTCACACTGCTCATTCACATTATAACAAATGCTTTATCCCTTTTTGCTGATGTTTCTCCTGTTGCTATTGTTTGTAGGTTTTCTGCATGCCTGTGTCTGTGTGAGAGACAGAAAATATACCTCTCAAAACACTAGTATGTGACACAAAAAGTGCAACACGGGCTTGTCTGACCATAGGAAAGCATGGTAATGGAAGGACTGGTGACGTCATTTCTTTTGTTACTTAACTTATTGTTAGACCATGGGAATGAGTGGTAGTGGTTGGGCAGATGACGTCATTTCTTTTGTTACTTCATTTATGCTAATTTATGCACAGAGACCAATAGTTCCATCAAAGTTTTGACAGAAAGTATGTAGACATTCCTCTCTCTAACTGTAGCCTGTTCTTCACCAGTCAAAGCTTTTTGGTAGAGTGACAAAGATGCGCCACTGCTGAAAAAATCCATCCATCCATT